TCTCAACGGACAAAGGCCTATACATCATCATCGGCACCATCTCATGATGAATTTGGCTTTGTCCCCCCCAAAAAAGGAACCCGCAACATGTAGATCCATGGGCTGGGCCAGACTTGTTGCTGGGCGAAAACCAAAAGCCAGGGCAACCGAGCCAGTGGGCCAGGGGAGGCAAGCAACAAATGCAGCATTACTATCGAATGCTCATGACTTAATTTGGCTTTTAGGCACCAAACTCATTTAGCGGTTTGGTTGTCTTCCGGGGTGGTTTCTCATCTACCCTCTACAAGAACCAGGGCTTCAAATACCCAGTTCCCACCAATCGAAACCACCAAAGGGGAACCTGACTCATTGTTTGGACCCTCATTTTACCATCTGAAGCCACAAATTTTGGATGGCAAAATCCCCAAAATTGGCCTGGGACCATTCCATACGGGAGACGGGGGAATGAACCTGGGCGAAGGAAATCACAGAACCCGTCCAGTTCGGCTTCCAAAACAAACTGCGAATTCTAGTGACACCAACCTCCATTTAATGTTTCCAGGTGTGCTTTTTTTGGCCCATGTGTCCTTGTTCTGTCGCCAGGCCATCACGCAAGTCATGCACATCACGTGCTCGCCTCGGCCATGGATTTTGGTTGGGTGGGCTTCTAAGGCGAAGAAAGGAGTGTTGAATAGACAGGCCAAACGGAAACCAGCCCAGTTTCTGACTTTGAAAAAACCCGGAAACGGTCAAACTCATGACCCCAAATAGAGCTCACTTGACTGGGTAGAACAAATGCATCTCTTTGGGTTAACCACCTGTGGGGAGGCCAGCAACAAGGGGAGACGGGTGGACAACGGAGCGGATTGATCAAATCCTGGACTTAATCCACGAGTTTATGAATTTGGAAAGGCCCCCACAGTTGACGCATTCTTTGAAAGAGTTTGATCGGGGTGTGTCAATCCCCCAAAAATGCGAGCTCCCTCTAAAATGGGGCAAGGTTGCACCCTCCCAAGTCAGTTTTGGGGTTGCTTAACAAACTAAACCTTCATTGAATTGTGATGCCTTTTCTTCAATGTGCTGCGCTCCCTAAGCGGAGGTGGTGGGAATTTCCATATCTGTGAAGCCATTTGGGCAACGGCTTTCACCAAACCACTAAAAGCCCGACATTCCCTGGCTTCCAAACCCCCAACTCCTCCGTAGGTGTGTACTCCCGCTGTGGCAGTTGTGCCCCCTTCCCCCAAATCCAAGAGAAACCCACAGCAGCCAATGGTTCTCGGGGGCCGCCTGGCAATCGGAACGCTGGGCTTCTAAAGTGCCGGCGGAGGTCTTTCCACCTGGAACTTACAAACCAATGACATCCGGAGCCGAAGACGTAGCGACATCTCCCATTGCGAGAAGGAACCTGTTTGGATTGCAGGGGAGTGGTCAAATCAATGCCAGCACAAACTGAAGCAATCTATGGGGTGCCTGCCTGCTACATAGTGGCTACGCAGTGGTTGTGTCGTTTGTTCGTTTTCCGGAGACAATGGTTTGGGGTAGTGGACCCCCCCCCCAAGCGTTTCCACTCGAAGGCTGCAGGGTCTCTGTCCTTTCTGAACTTGCGCTATGCTTTTCAGCGGGCCCAGAGCATCCCTCCATGATTCGTGGTTGGGGGATTTAGTGGAAAACCCCTTGATTGCCCAAAAAGTTAGTCTAAAGATCCTGCCCAGTAGCAGTCAAGGATTCCAATACTGATTCAGAGCCACAAGGGGAGCCACAGGGGAGCCAGAGGTCTCAGGGAGCCAGGAGGGGAGCTATAGCTGTCTTGCGGCTTCAGCCTTGCCATGGCTCTGAATCATGGGCCGTAATCAGAAGTGCTCGTTCCCCTCCCCCCCCCCCAAAAAAAAAAAAGAAAAGAAAAGAACAGAAAGAGAAGAAGCCAGATGGAGCATTTGATGCCACGCCGCAGCCTTCCAGCAGCCCATACTTGGCGACCCGCGGCAGGGCCAGGCAAATGCAGCAATCCCCCGTCTCGCCGCCCGCGTCGAAGGGAAGCTCCCCTGAACTTGAAAGAAATGAAGTGGGTCACTCACTTCCCAAGATGGGCCCAAATGGAACCCAAGCCTTTTGGCTTGCCACTGCTTTTTTTTTAAACAAAAAGTCTGGGAACTCGGGAAGTGAGGTTATACCCCTTTTTTCAAGATGCTCCCAGAAACGTCGGACTCCCGGGGTGGTCAACCTCAAATCGAATGCTTGTCTTCTCAAGGGAAGACAGCCTTAGGGCAGGGGGTCGGAGGGCAGTCGAACATCCGTCGGTTGAACGTCTGATCCCCCCTCTCCAATAAAGGAAGTTAAGAGATCCGAGTGGCCGAGTGACCATCTTCAGTCGATGGTTTGCGACGAGTGCTGTCAGTGAAAAGTTTTCGCTGGCAGTGTAGTTGCAGCTATTGAAGCAGTATTGAGGCAGTCTCTTCGCTTCGCTCTTTTTGGAAGGTATTCCTTCGCAGCTCCAGGAACAACCCTAGAAACGCCTCTGCACATCATGGCACCTCTGGACCTTTGGGCCCCTCACAGAGGGACTCCTCTAAAAATCAAGGCTTGTTGGTTCCATGTTAATCTGGGGCGTAAACATGGGATTGTGGCATTGAAATTGTGGTTTTGACGCTTCCATGTCAACTCGTAGGGGGGTACCAGGCCAGCAAATGGGGCGTTTCCACACACGCCGGTCGAATGTCCGGCACACATCTTGAGCCCTCGTGCCCCAAAGTTGCTGGATCAGCCCAGAGAATGGAAGTTTGAAACAGAATCTTCCCAAGCCCAAGTGGGTCTGTCCTTCTTCAGGGGTACCCGTTGTGGATGGGTTAGGGAAACCCAAAGGAACACTGCGCCAATTTGGGAGGTCCAACCTTAAAAAAAAAAGCTTCCCTCAAGGGTGGGTTTGGAGAGAGCGATGGGACACCCCATTTATTCTTTACCAGAACCTTGGCAATCCAATTTCAACTCACCAAAACACCGAGTGAACTAAGGGTTACCTGAGTAAGGATTCAATAGCTCACTTCCTGAGCAGATTGGCTCCAAACATTTTGTTGAAAACAAAAACCGGTTTTGCTCACCGGGTTGCTGATTGTCAATGAGTGGGGCCCCCTACGCAAACAGAAAGGCAGAAAGCTGAATACGGGTAGGTGAGATCAGTGCCCAGAAAGCCAGGACGCTACTCCTCATGCCTCTCATTTCCCTCTTGAAACCGACTCAGCCACAGTTTTTTTTATTTTAAATGAACGCTGACCAAAATCTTCAGCATTCTTGCCGCAGCTTTTACTCTTAGTGTTTCTGCTGAGTATCTTGCATGGTAGGTTAATGGACTTTACCTTCTCATGGTGTGACCCCCTAAGAAAGCTTCCAGAGCGCGGCGCGATGCGTTCCGGCTGCTTTTAGTCTCGGCGCTTGGTTTGCACAGACCTGACATGTGTGTTCTTGTGAGATTCACTTTTGGTCCGCTGGAAACCTAAAGGCAACCTATTGGAGGGTCCTCCGAATTTCAGAACCCAAAGGAGGGTCTCGCTCAAAACAAAACTGTCCCAAACAGTTCAAAGTCCCTTAGCAAAGTGATGGACTTTACTTGGCCCACACCTGGGTACACAGCATATCACATATTTTCCGACTGTTTTCCACAGAAAATTATATTCTCTGCTCTCTGTCCCGTATTTAGGCCACCCCAAAATACAAGACATGTCCGGACGGACCTCCGTTTCGGTGCGAGCTGCCTGGAGTCTGGTGCCGGTAGATGCACCGGTCCCCGAACCAACAGCTCCCAGGTGCCCCCGTCCAATACCAGCAGACAGCCATGGCGCAGTGACGAGGCTGACGCGCGCGAACGCCAGCATTCCAAGGCGCCTAGGCCCTCCAGATTTGAGAGGTTAGAAGAAGGGTACCCGATATTTTTTCTGGACGTCTATTTTAGGGGAACCCTCCCAACCAAAAAAGGGGAGAGAAGGGCATTCCGACGCTGGCGGTCCAGGAAGAGCAAGCCACAAGAGGTGTCACTGGGTGGCTGATGTACTTAAACAAGATTAGGATAGCTGGTGATTTGGATTGATGTACTCGCTCTCTCTGCATCTAGGTTGCTTTTCTGCTATGGCGGTGGTTGGGTGGGCTTAAAGCAAACCTCGCATGCGCGTTTTGCGGATCTTGCCAGCATGCGAAGGGAATCCGAAAGGAAACCAAGCATTTGCCAGGCGCTGCAACAGGGATCCTTACATTATACACCTGAACATTGCCTTGTAAATGGTGGTTTCCCGTTTCCCTTTATTTTGGTGGAAAAAGCAATGTTTCAAGTGGGCAAAAATGTATCTTTAAGGAGCCCTGTGCAATTCGATGCATGCCTTCTTTTAAAGGTGCTAGCCACGGAGCACGGGCGGACCCTTCACTGTCAGCCACAGGGCTGAAAGCATGGAATGTATGCGCTTCCTACCCTCCCAATTAACGTGGAACCTGACGTTGGGGGTCGCTTGGAAAGGGAAAATGGTAGCCAGGAGCCCCCGAACGTCAGGTTCCATGTTAATTCTTTAATTGGTGGGAGGGTAAGATGCGCTCCCCTTGTAATTCCTAAGTGGTTTGCAGAGACGCACATGCTTCTTGCTTACCACTAAAATGCTTGGTTGCTGTTGACCCCCCTTCCAAAAAGTTCAACTTTTTGGGGTTTAGTGGAAAACCCCCTTGATTTCCCCAAAGGTTAAAGTCTAAAGATGCAACCCAATCTCGGTTGCTTTCTGCTCCCCTGCTAAAAGTGAATAACTTTTAGTGGTGTAATACGGAAAACCCATGAGCGGGCAAAAAGTGATTCAGTCCTAACATCCCTTGGCAACATCCACCAATTTGTTTGCTTGCCACCAAAATTGTCTTCACACCAGAGCAGGTAACCAGCCCCTGTTACCCTTTAAAGGGAAGCCAAAAGCTTGGGGTTTTGCCAACCTGGTTTGCGCAATAGCGGTCAAGCCATGCGCCAAGAAGGTGAGCTTCGGCCTCTCGAAGCACAGCGCCTCCGGGCCGAAGTCTTTCAGCAAGAGCTGCACCGCGCTGGGCACGATGGACAGGACCTGCCGTGCTTTTGTCGCCTTCGACCCGTTGAGAACCAACGGGGGAGATCCTAAGTATAGAAAACCCTTGCGGAAATGATGTCCACATGGGTATGGGCCCAAATGAAGCCACAACCCGACCGACCCTAAGTACCCAGAGGATCGGATTCGATTGATTTGGGGCCTTCAAACTACCTGGTTTTGAGACCCCAAACCACTTCCGGGGTGTCTAATGGAGAGGTCGGGTCTTCGATTGAAAGCCCCAGGAGCCTCCACATGATGGACCACTTAGACAGCGCACAATTCACCTGCTAACTTGGCCCAGGCTGGCACCTTCTGGCTAGATTATGCATGAAACCACTCAAGAAAATGGGCAACAGGGCGCCGCTTGTCTGGTGGTCTGTGCTGCTTGGCACCTAGGACATTGGCAAAGGGATGCCGTTCTTCAAATCTGGAGGTTGTTAAGACAACCCAAACTTCGTACCATCGCAACACAAACTGAAAGGAAGTCCCTTCCGACCATTTTTCAGGGACAGGAAGCCTCTCAGGTTGCATTTGTGCCCCTTTTTGCGTGTCAATCGCTTCCGGGATGCGTGTCTTCTTATGAGCGAGCCCCTTGTTGGGGGTCAGGTTTTTGGGGGACAAGGGACACCGTTGCCATTTTTGGGAGTTGCAGTATGAAAGACATGCAATTTGGACTTCCCAATCTTTGTGCGGTTTTCCCGTTGGCTGCAAGTTTGAAGCAACGCTCCCCCACCCAAACAAAAAGCAATGGCATTCCCCTAAAAACATCCATAGGGGATCATATCGGTATTTGGCAAACCGAGAAAGTCCGTTGTCATTTTGGGGGTGAAACCAGCGCTTCGGGAAACGGCTTTCGTCTGAGACAAATCCAAGTCGATAAGTCGCCGGTCAAACCTAGGATATCTCCAAGATGGGTTGGCCTGAAAAATGGAGCCAAGGACACCGGTCTGGTGGTTTGATCTTGACCCATACCCAAGTGTGCCAATCCCATGTCACTCGCGTCCCGAGTTCCTTTTCGAACCCGGCCGCCGGCCTCCCCGCAGTTCACTTCCTCGTTGCACGGGCAGTCGGGCGACGCCTGGCTTCGAAAACTTGCCGGGTTGCGAGTCGTGCGGAGGCCCGAAAAAAAAAGAAAGGAGGGTGAGCTTCTGCTGGTCTCACTTCCTGGGTGGCCACCAAAAAACAACCACACTTTCGCAGGCCCCTCATGGGCATCCCTCCTTTATTGGTCAGCTCACCATTGGCTCGAATGTGGTTCAAATTCGCTTGAAGGGTACCTCACTTCAGTGGATGGGTCAGGAAAAGTTCAAGACTTTTGGATTGCCACGAACTCACTTCCCGAGTGGATTGTTCCCAATCAAAGTTCACACTTGTTTTTAGTACCACTTAAAAGGTGAGTTGGGTGCGTCGGTTTTAAGGTTGGACCCGCAAAAAACGGATTTCGGACGCCACGCACCACGTGGAAGCCTCCGAGTACCCGGCGTGGGCTCTTGGGTTCGGGACTCGGTCATTCAGAAAAACAATGTCACTGAAGCCGAAACTCTCGGAATGGAAGTGAGCTAAAAAGGATCCATCCCCCCAAAAACACGACTTCTTCTCAAGTTCATGCGGGTGTTCTCCGATATCACAGAAGTTCTTAACCCTGGTGAAACCAAAAGATGTCAGTCAAGTGAGCTAAAAAATGATCCATCCCCCCAAAAATCAATGAGTCCAGAAACTCGGGCAGTGAGGATTCTCGCTGCCTTGCACGTCTCGTTCACCCCGGTCTCGCCACAGCGGGTCACCTTGGATCGACTGGTCGGATCTGTTTTGATGCTACCCCCTTTTTGGTTGGCTTTCAAGAGGCACCAACAAGAACACCACTATATCGGGAGGGGGGGGGTCCCCAAAAAAAGAGGAGCGCATCTGCAACACATTGTTTGCCTTCCGTTTCTGGAAGAAAATCTGTGTCATAGACTTCGGGCCTTTGCCTCAATGGCACGCACGTGGAGCTTCCTGGACAAACCGTTTGGGGAAGTTTCACCCCTTTTCGGTGCTCTACTTGCGCTCCTTCCTTCAGTACTTTTCACAATATCCTGAGGCTTGGATTTCTGAAAGCTAACACTAGACATGCTTCACACGGGTCCGTGTCAAAGGGATGTGGATGGTTGTATCTCCATTCCTCTTTGACCCCCCGAAAGGTCAACAGTGCTGTTTCTTTTTGACACGCATGACAGTCAGCATTCCGCACCTGGCCTTCTCCCACTGCATCAGCAGTTTCAGGCTCTCCTTGCGGCGCAATCTGCTGAGAACACAACCTGACTTGCATGGGGTAGACCAAATAATATCTTCAGTTTCTGCTTCATATTTAGTTTGACCTGCAATGTTTGTGTACAATATATATATATACATATAATTATATACATGTTAAACGCACACACACACACACATTTTGGAGGAAACTCCAGCTGAACTGTCGAATGACCATCTGGGCCAGGAACTCAATCACACCAAATACCATCACGAATCTGCCATGGCGAGCTCGTTCTACCCCCAGGTCAGCTCGCTAAAACATAGGCGGACGAATTCAGCTTTGTTTTTGCACCCAAGCTAGATACCTCCTTTCGATTCCTACTTCCATGGGCACCATCTATGTCAGCTTTCTCATGTACTGACTTCTGATTTGAGCCAGGCACCAGAACAAACTAAATCATCTGTGGTCGGAAACTGATTCAAGCGGCCTCCGGAAGAAGCAATATGTTTCTCATGGAGCCGGCTTAGGTTCTCCCCACAGCCCCCAGACCAGAGTTCAAAGTAGACATGTGATGCTTCAGCACTAGTGCTGGCTTCTTCGTCCATCCCTTACTTTTTACTCCTTCTTTTGGGGTTAACTCTCAAGGGATGACGGTCCTTTTGGGGTCTGGCAGTGAAACCTTTGGACAAGGATTCCTTGGCGGCTTGACTCGAGCCTGGGGTCTCGGAAAGGCAGACGCCGGCCGATCCCGGGTCCTTGTCGCATCCGTCATTCACATGCTTTCCCATCTTCCGCATCCCCCGCAACCTGGCTGTTGGTCAAAACCCAGGAAAATGGGATCGCCATAGGTTATGCCCTATGGCCACCTGGCGAAAAGCCAGGCCAGGTTTTCCGGAGCCGTGCGAGGAAGCCGGCGTCGCAACCAACATGCTCGACAAGTCTTGTGCGCTACCCTCCCAAGGAAGTCATTGGACGTGCCCAGGCTTCCTTTCCAAGGGGAAACTTGCCTGTGTCTCAGCACTTCGGAGCAAATTTTCTGGTGGCAAAGCACACCCGCCTCTCTTCGGCTTGTTCTATCTGCTCCCTGGGCAGCACTGACTGAACAATCTCCCTACCCGCGTTCAGCCTATTAGCCTGAGAGATCACGTGAGTGATGCAGCAAAGTCATGAGAACGCTCATCTTGTATGAGGGTCCTGCTTTTTAACTCCCCAAAACCGTTTTTTGTTACGACACTCTCCTTGCAAGGTTGGGGTCGAACACCAGATCCTCCTCCATTTGTTTTCCGCCAAGCCTTTTTTTATATCCAGTCTTGGGCCACCCCCTTGTCTAAACTATGCTTGAGCGACTATTCTGGGTGAATTATAATATTTCACCAACCTGAAATAAGGTGGTTGGGGAGCTATTCCGCACATAAACCACCATTTGGTGTGAGGTCGTGTGAGGTCGTTATAATTCACATACACTATTGCTTGAAGCACCTCTGCTTCTGTTCCCTTGGTAGTTTTGCAGCCTCCTACTGCTTGGTTTCGCTTGGGGGCCCTGGCTCGGTCGTGTTCCGCATTTTGCCACGGCCGTCGTCGGCCGAACTTGTGACATCCCAAGGCGCAGGCCGATCCACCCCAGCTGTCTTCGCTTTGGTGACCTGGCAGGCCAAAACTTCGCCTAATGATCCAGACCTCACTCATCAGAACAACGTGAAGCACTTTGAAGCCAAAGCAAGTTGTGCGCTAAACACATAAGCTGCTACATTCCAACAAGAGAAACAATTGGGGTGTATGACTCTCATTCAATGGCTGCATGGTTGTACTTCCCGTGGTTCGATAGTGGAGGCTGTCAGAGACAAGTAGCACACCATGACCAGGGCGTTCTACCAGAATGACCCCATACGGACCAATGATTGATTTCTTGTGGTGCATGCCTCTGTGCTTACAAGCAACCGCTATATGTTCACTGCCTGCACTGAAAAGAAACAACGCGCCTGTTCATCCCCCCGTTTCAATTACTCGCCGGATTGCAAGAACTGCACGGGCTCAGGAGAAATGGCACCCAATTATTTTTGTGCAACGCTTGAAGCAGAAGCGCTTACTTGGTCTTATCGCTGTTTCTTATGCAGTTTCTGTGATTTAAGTCTTGAACCCCCCCATCACAAGCTCTTGCTCGCTTGCATGGACAATCCCCGATCCGATGGAGGTGGACACGCGCGAGAAATTCGATAAACCTCTGAAGGTCTTTGAGTGACATGAGGCGGCTAAAAGAAGATGCTGAGAGTTCTTTGCTACACTCTCTCCAGGAATCCTTGCCTTCGGAACATGGCCGCAGAAGCCGAGATACGACGTAAGAGCTAAAGCGATGGGCGCAAAGAATGGGGGACCGACTCTTAGACAGGACGCTCCGAAAACCCTGGAGTATAACTCTTGCCCTTAGAAACTTGGTTGCTGTTGACCCCTCTGCAAAAGGTGTTTAACTTTTTGTGGGTCCAATTTGGAAAATCCTCCCTGTTTCGACAATAAAGCTAAAGTCCAAAGACCTGTTACGAAAAGGAGCCATAAAGGAAAGGACATCGAAGCAACCCACATTTCTAGTCCGGTTGGATGTTAATTCGATCCATTCGAAGCTGGGAGCGGCTCTGTTGGTTCTGGGCCATTCAAAGGTAAACCAACGCTTGCGGCCATGGGGGCACGCACCTTTGAAACTCTATTTTTCCAGAGGACACCTAGTTGTTTGGCTTTACAAGGGGGGGGGGGGGGCGAAAGGAAACAAACACATAATTCTGGGGTTCCTTTACCCAAAAAAAAAGACCCACCCATTTCTGTTGTGTCCAGAGGTTCCGACTGAATCAGCAACACCCTGGGGACTTGCACGGACGCTCGCCAAAAGGAACTCGAACCTGCGACTTTAGGGCACCTCTCAAAAGAGACTCGGGCATGATACACCCCCGCATTTCCGATCGAGTGGATTGGCCAAAACGGTTCAACCTTGCTATTTACCACACATCTAGTGCTACCTTCCCCAGTCTTTCCAGGGATCCTTCCTTCTAGAAAACCTCCGGAAACCCATGGAAACGGCCGGTTTTCGAAAAGAACGATGGTTGGAAAGAATGCAACAGCATCCTGGAACCCTACCTGCAACCTAGGGTCCAACCTAGGGTCCAACCAAAGTACGTGCACATCGAGGATTGGCGCTGTGGTGCTATGTGGCGTTTTTTTTTCCTCGTGGGAACATGCCCCCCTCGACAGCCAGCCCAAGTGTTGGGCAGGCTTTGTCTCAGGGAGCCTTGCTTCCGAAACTTGTGACTTAGCTTGGGCAAAGACTTGGTCTAAACAAGCCCCAAGTTTAGAGACACCCTCCACGCAACTTTGGGTTCCCCAGACTTCCCCTTGAGAAACATCAGGCCAAACACATGAGCGAGAAGCTTGTTTGCCGCGGCCTGTGCGAGAAGCATATCGTAATCCTCTTCCGCCTGTTCGAATCCCAGAGGCGCCCCCTCACCGTCACCTCCTGCTCATCAAACAAACCCAAGAACAAAACCCAAAAGCCCGTCCTGTAGGAACGGGCATCTCTTTTTTGGGAAAGGGCGTGAACCGTTCTCACAAATAGGATCGCACGGACATCCTTCGAAACCCATGCGAAACCGCGCGAAACCTTCTGGCCATGGCGAACACACCAGGAAAGAAAAGGTCCGAAGAATCTAACAACGGGTTCTAATTGAAGAGTGCTGCAAACCTACTGGGGGTAGGAGAGTGTTCACTTCCCTCCTGAGTCATATGCTAGGAAAGCAAGCCTTTCCGTGATGCCAACGTGGGTGTATGGCAACTTTGTAGTGTTAAAGGGGTCCCAGGATCATTCTTTCATCACAAAAAGTGGCCCTGCAAAAGCAGGGCCCAAAAAATATTGGCTTCCACAAGAAAACAACTTTCATGCGCCCTGGTCGTTTAACTCCTGTGTCCTTACACCCGTATTGCCCAGAGCAGTCCACCCATGCTTGGCTGTCGGGTTGCCGGGTGGGTTGGCGCCATTCTTAATGATTTGGGAACCCCGAATTAAGCAACCCTCTGATTGCTTTATAGGAGGCGTCCCTGGGCAATCATCACGTTTGGAGGGGAACATCACCCCCATTACCAAGATGGACTTATTTATCCGGGGTCCATATTATGCGTAGTCTGCAAGCAATCCATGTGTGAGCATAAACATATGGGACCTCCCGTTGGCAGTTTTTGTGTTGGCTTCCCCCTTTTGCTTGGGCCACAGGGCCGGCTTCTTGTTTTCTTCCCAACCCCTGACATGTTGGCCAAACCGCACCGGACGTTTCTTGCAGCCAATGTGAATAGGTGAGAACAAAGCACGCACGAGAACCAAGAACACTGAGGGCAGAATTGTCACGAACAGCGCACATTCAGAAACTAAACACGTTCTAAATCTCAACCTTGGCCGAATCGACAAATCGATTCTCTCAAAACCAATCCCACGCACAACTCGGAATTAGACAACACAGAACTACCCCCACATACACCAACTACTGATGCACAAAATTCTGTCTGGATAAAAAAAGAAGAAGAAACCAACTGTGGATGGACTCAATCCCGCACCAGTGCCAGATGCATAAAACCTAGACACCCCAGGTGTCCTTTTGGGAAAATAGATGGCCCTGGTAAATGAAATGAAACCAACCTAAACCAGTGGAACCCGTCTATTTCGAACCAAAATAACCTAAAAAGCACGCCTATGCTAGAAACCCTGTGAGCACCTCACCACTCACCAGGTGCATCCATGTGGGTGTGGGTCAAAAATCGGACCCCAAAAGGCCCAAAATGGAATTTTGGGTAATGGAACCAAGGACTAAAATCTGTGGTCTCCTGGTGGTCTAACTCAGTTGCCCAAAGGATCTGGAACTAAAAGGTTAACCTTTTCGGGCCATGACTAAATATGAGCCGCAATGGGAAAACCAAAAGGTCAAAAGGTCGATTCGCTTTGAACAAATGAGCTAAGTTTGACCCAGAGCCCATGTCTTCGAGCCTGGGCCTCCCGTAGGGCCAGGCCCTGCAGGCAACGCCTTGCGCCGGATGAGACTCGCGTCCCACCCACTAAATGGGCCAAAAAGTGAGCCACACTTTTTGGGATTGCCACCAACACGGTCTTTCCAGAAAAAAGAGAGGGTCCAAACTCAAAAAGTTTGAAGTAGTCAGCCAAACGTTTTGTATCTTCTGATTTGCTTCACTCACTTCCGATCGAGCTTTGTCGGCCAAAAAGAGTACCCGCACTTTTGGGGATTGCCACTAAAACGGTCCAAACCCAACAAGCGACTCATGTCCAGGAACATGCAGGAACTTCGGAAGTGAGTAGACATGGTGACTGAACCTCCCTTAGTCAAGCCGACCTGGGAGCCTTTTGGAACCTTGACTATATACTTAACCCAAATTTTGAAACGAACGCGTTAAAGGTCGTTTCGCTTTGAAGTGAAGTTTAGGACCTGTTGGTGTTTTCTCTTGGTTGGCTTGGTTTGGCTTGGACCTTACCGGGGCTTCCCCTCGCGGCTTCAAACAGAGCTGCGCCAGCGTTTCTACTCAGAACTCACTCTCACTTCCTGAGTGGATAGTCGAGAAAAGTCCAAACTTTTGATTTATCACTAAAATGGTGTTCCCCAAAACTTTAAAGTTCAGGAACTCAGGAAGTGAGCAAGTCACTTCTGCATGAGCATCAAATAACGCTTATTGGCCGCCATGTAGATGCAACAAATGGCAAAGAAGACACTACACCGCATCAAGCATTCTAGGCGTCAAACAGCAACTTTTTGGGCATGGCTAGGAATGATTGTTTTGGGTTTGTTGGGGGTTGGTTTACGTCACGTTGGCTTCTCTCTGTTGTTGGTTCAGGGTGGGCATCCCAATTATATGATGGATATACACAGCTTTAACAGCTTTGCGCGCTATTGGCGAAACAAACTCAATACCTTCGAAGGGGGGGGGGATGAGGTGCCCATACCAATGGCAACCTACCCTCCCACCAAGAAACACGGTTTGGCACACAGTTAGCCCCCTCTTCCAGAATGGGCTGAGGGTTCACTTCCATGTTTGTGACATTGTGGGGGATGTGGGAGGGCATGTGTGCAACAATAAACATATATACATATATATGAATACGTCATTGCAACAATATAGATACAGGGTGGGCCATGCCCTATTTGTGGAACCCACAAGAGTTTCTTTTGAGAGGTCGCCACGCCATGAAGGCTCCCTAAGCCTCCCCGCGCCGAAAGCTCCCTGACTGTGGATGGTTGCGAAATCCGTTTCGCACCACCCAAGAAACCCTGGAATGATTCGATTCCCCTGCAAATAGCAACAATGGTTTCGACCATGGTTTCAAAGTGGTGCAGGTTCCCCGTTCGGTGAGGGATCACTTTGATTGGTACAGTCCTTCAGAATAATCCGAAGTTAAGTTCAGGGGGAGGGAGCCTTGCAAACGCTGCGCTTGCCAACGGTCGGTCGCGGCTTCCCATCGTTCCCTTTTGCATCATGCAGATCCTATGCCAGAAATCCGCAGTTGGTGCCCCATATTTCCCTTGGTGGTCTTCAACATCACCAGTTCGGCCATAAGGTGATCTTCCCTCGGGATCGGGGCGATGCTTTAAACTTCCATTTGTATTTTTGCCCCCGTGGAAAAAATGGAGCATATGTCCAGTAGTGATAAATCCTCTTTTAAAACCACTAAGGGAAAACAACACACCTTCATTTCAGACCATGGAGGTTATCCTCAGTTGCGGGAATGACTGAGTCCGGGTATTGATTCCCGAATAAAGGAAACCATAGGATGGCGTCTTTTTTTTGGGGGTGACTCCACCTCATTCCCTGAGAAGCCTCACAAATGAAGGCTTGGCTTTTTGGGGCCATGACGAGAAGCGGGGGGATTTGTTTTTCTCATTTCAGCCAATACAGGGAGACCTCAGGATGTCGAATCTGAGGCGGCTGGCTTCAGCTCCACCTCCGAAGCGCTCCGCACGTGAACCTCGCTGCGATTGGAGGTGGGCACGGCGGCCACGGCGGCCAGGGGTTTCCTTTTGGCTTCCATTTAAACCAAGGCGAAGAAGGCGAAAAACCAACTGCCCGCAAAAATGCTCAGCCACCTGCGGCCGCATATGGTGGTTTCCCTTTTAGTTTCCCTGTAGCCCAAGTGATAAGGGTGCCTCCAAAACCGCTCAGCCAGCTACTTCAGCATACGCAGGCTTGGTTTCCTTTCAACCAAAGTTAGAAAGGGTACCCGCACAAATCACTCACCCACCGACGGAGTACCATAGGCCTTTGGATCAGTGACCTGGTCAGACTCAACACCCCGAGTCGCCTTGAGATGCGGCACGCTGTCCGCGGATCGTGCTCCTATGACCTCGGTCTCGTGTGGCTGCCATGAGCTTCTGGTTGGGAGGAACACCCCCCCCCAACCCAAGAAATACAACATTCTTAGGGGCGTCTTCAAAGGGCTCCAAGGACATTTCTGGGGGATGGGGGGGCAATGGCTTCTTGTGGGTCAGGGCTGTGATGCTGCCTGGCAAGGCGGTCTACTGGTACAGAATTGACAAAGGCCAACCCCTTTTGCCCACCCAATTTCAGGGGAACCCAACCAACAAGCTGGTTGCAGGCACTCATTCCTGAACCTGAAGTAAGAAATGGACTGCCACCCCTGAAATCAATTGTAAGCCCATCCTTGGGGAGGTCTCGATTTCACTTTTTCCGCGTCAGTCAAAAACCAAGTGGCAATATGTGATGCATGGGTGGTGGTTTTCCCGTTGGCTTCCCTGAAAAAAGACAAACCTAAAACGAAAATACCACCAAACCAAAAGCACACACCCAAATCCCACTCAACGCTCAAGAAGGCGTCAAGTCTGAGGAACTGCAATGCCTGGGAACCGCTCAGCCCGCCATGAGACTTCCGTTGGACCCAAAAAAAAGGTCAGCGACTTGCCTCCAGATCGGCGGCAGTTCCCTCCGTGGGCTTCTCAGCATTCTCCCGCCAGTTCCACCTGCAGCACAAGGGACGTTCGGACAGTGCGGACAAGGGAACCCGGGAACCAGGGC